CTAACATGGTATCGGAGCAATCCGCCGACGATTCTGATCGCCTCAGTATTCGTCTTGATCCGAAGAATTATGCGGTGTGGGAATTTCAGTTCCACATCTTTGTTGAAGGCAAGGGTCTTCTCCCGATCCTTGATGGTACCTCTAAGAAACCGACAACCCCCTGCTTCTGAGCAGGCCCTGGAAAGATGGGTGATGAACAATGCTCACGTCAAATCATGGATTTTAGGATCGGTTGATCCTTCCATTCTCTTGGGGCTTCGATTATTCTCTACTGCTTTTGAGATGTGGTCTCATTTGGCGGCCACATACACCACCTCGAACTCCGGCCGTCAATTTGAGATTGAAACTGAGCTCGCCGCCCTAAAGCAAGGTGATATGGATGTTGCATCCTATTACAATGCCTCTGTTCATCTATGGACGGAGGAAGATCTGCTCTTGGCCACACTTCGATCAGCTGTTGTTTCCGAAGAGGTACGTGCCGAACGCAACCAGTCCCGCCTCCTTCATTTTTTGATGAAGCTCAAACCCGAATTTGAGTCTGTGCGCTCCAGCTTGCTTAACCATGATGATCTTAAATTTGATGGGGTAATTGGTCGGCTGATCCAAGAGGAAACTAGGCTGAGGACGCAAGAAAAGCTCGACATACGCTCTGGTGCTAGTGAGGCTGTCTTTTCTGTCGATGGTCAATCTGTTGATGATCATGTCGCTTACGCCGCCCATCGTCCACAATTCCATCGTCGCCCACAGTCCACAATTCCACCCTCAGAGTTGACGTGTTCCTTTTGTGATGAAAAGGGACATGTCCAAAAACACTGCAAAAAAAGGAACTTTTGTGGCTACTGTAAGCCCTCAGGCCATATTATTAGTGAGTGCAGAACCCTTCAACGTCACCAGCAATATCATGCTCCACCCAGCTGTCCTGACTCCGCACCGAGTCGTCCCTCTCATCCCACGTTTGCTGTCCAGCTACCGAGGCACCAGGTTCTTCTATTTCAGCAGATGTGGTTGAGAAAATGATCAACTCTGCACTCCAAAAGTCTCTTCCTGTTGCGATCAACACTGCTTTTGCTGCTCTCCAGGTCTTAGGTAAAGCCAAGCCTTGGTTACTAGATTCAGCATGTTTTAACCATATGACGAGTGACACTACCTCTCTACGTCATATTACTCCTGTCAATAATTTGCAACTATAGGTCGCCAATGGAGCTCATATCCCCGTCGCTGGCATGGGATCCATTAGTCAGCCGAAAGTTAAATTGACTAATGTGCTTCATGTTCCAAAACTTCATCCTAATCTTGTCTCTATGGGGCAGCTGACTGATGATCATTGTTCCGTCTTATTCACACCTTCTGGGTGCTTTGTGCAGGATCTGACGATGGGGAGGCTGATCGGAAGAGGGAGTAAGACAGGTCGTACGTTCACCTTGGAGGAGCTTACGAGTCGAGGGTCTCCATCTTGTTCCCAGGTGTCTAGTGTGTCAAGTCCTAGTTTTGAGTCAAATTCGGGTTCTCTTTTGCGATCTCCAGTTGTGTTTTCTAGCTTTTCAGATAGTCAAAGGCATCTTTGGCATAATCGGTTAGGTCACCCAAACTCGAGTCGGTTGCAATTGATGTTTAAACAACAACTCTTTGGTAATAAATCAGTTTCTTGTCCATCTCACTTGCTCTGCACTAGTTGTGTCGAAGCAAAGGCCAAAATCATCTCATTTCCCTCGAGTAGCACTACTATCACCGAGCCTTTTCATCTTGTTCATACAGATTTGTGGGGTCCTTCCCCTGTTACATCGCGTCATGGCTATAAGTATTTCGCTCTTTTCATTGACCATGCTACTCGTCATACGTGGGTTTATTTTCTCCATCTTAAATCGGAGCTATATAATGTGGCTACAGAATTTTTAACCATGATCCGCACTCAATTCAGCAAGAATGTAAAAATTCTTCGCTCGGATCCTGGTGGAGAGTTTAGCTCGACCCCGTTGCTTGCGTACTATTAAACACATGGCATTCTTTATCAAAAGTCATGCCCAGGTGTCTCGCAACAGAATGGCGTCGTTGAGAGGAAAAATCGTCATGTGGTCGAGCTAACTCGAGCTCTCCTTCTTGCCTCATCAGTTCCCACTCGCTTTTGGCCTGAAGTTGTCGCTACTGCAGTTAGACTGATAAATTACCAAGTCACCACAGTTTTAAACAACAAGAGTCCCTATTTTGCCCTTCAGGGTTCTCATCCTCCTTACTCCCGTCTTTGTGTTTGTGGGTGTCTTTGTTTTGTTCTTCTTCCCCGTCGTGAGCATCACAAATTATCTTCCAAAACTGTTAGGTGTGCGTTCCTTGGTTATAGTGATATTCACAAAGGGTATTTGTGCTTTGACCCTTCTCTTGGTCGTATTAGGATAGCGTGTCATGTCATCTTCTTCGAAAATGTCATGTTTTTTGAGTCATCCGCTCCCGAGTCTGTCTCCCTCCTGTTTTCCTCGACTCAGTTACCTTCATTTGGTGATGACCTTGAGCTTGAAGATGATCTCCCTCCCGATCTGCCTCCTCCCTCACCCAGTAGTTCATCAGGATTGAGTTCCACGTTGTCTTCTTCACCTGGGTCCAGCCCCTCGTCTACTACCTCTCCTAGCGCGGCCCCCTCATCGGGTTCTTCTAGCCCATTTGGCGAGGTAACTCCACCTCCGCAGGTTGTTGTCCCTCGTAAGTCCCAGCGTGCGAATTTTGGCCATCCCCCAGTTCGGCTTGGTGATTATGTGGCCCATGCCGCGGCAACCATCCCGATTCCATCACGTTACTCTCAAGCTAAGGATGACCAAAATTGGAATCGGGCGATGAATGAAGAGTTCACTACTCTGGATGCCAACTGCACTTGGACCATAGTGGACCGCCCTCCTCCTCACGTCCTTGTCGTCGGGTGTCGGTGGCTGTACAATCTCAAATTCCTTCCCGATGACAGCCTTGAGCGGTACAAGGCTCGGATGGTGGCTCGGGGCTTCACACAGGAATATGGGATCGATTTTGAGGACACATTTGCACCCATGGCGAAGATGCAGTCAGTTCGTACTCTCCTGGCAGTGGCGGCCATTCGCAACTGGCCTTTATTTCAACTGGATATTAAAAATGCCTTCTTGCACGGTGACTTGAAGGAGGTTGTCTACATGAAAATTCCCCCCAGTTATCCTCACGGATCTGCTGATCAGGTTTGCCTCCTACATAGGTCCTTGTATGGCTTGAAAGAAGCCCCCCGGGCATGGTTTGAGAAATTTCAGCAAACTATCTTGGGCTTCGGGTTTCAGCAGAGTCAGAATGATCCTTCGTTGTTTACTCAGATCACCTCTCGTGGCCGGGTCGTTCTCCTCATTTTTGTGGACGACATGATCGTTACAGGTGATGACATCCTTGGTATTGATCGGCTTAAGGCGAACCTGCGCACCTCTTTTAGTCTAAAAGACTTGGGGCATTTGTCTTACTTTCTTGGGATCGAGGTGCATCGATCTAATCGGGGCATTCTTCTCAGTCAACATAAGTATGTTACTGACATGTTGGAAGATCATCGTTTTGCCGACTGTATTCTTGTCCGTACACCAATTGAGCTTAATTTGAAGCTTGGACATGACTCTGGGGCACCCCTGGCTGATGGAAAAGTGTACCGGAGCATTGTTGGGAGTCTCATCTACCTTGTCGCTACTCGTCCTGATGACATCGCCTATGCAGTCCAGCTTGTTAGCCAGTTTATGGCTGCTCCACGGGTTGACCATCTTGCTGTTGTCCATCGCATCTTGCGTTATCTTCGGGAGACGCGTGATGTTGGACTCTTGCTCCCTACGTCTGGTGATTTATGCTTACGTGCTTACTCTGACTCTGATTATGCAGGATGTATCGACACCCGCCGTTCCACGACTGGATGGTGTATACAGCTTGGTGATTCCTTTATCTCGTGGCGATGTAAGAAACAAGACAAGGTGTCTAAGTCCTCCACTGAGGCAGAATACCGCGCTATGTCGGATGTTGGTTCGGAGATGGAGTGGTTGCAGCGTCTTCTCGGGAATCTCGGAGTTCATCTTCCTTCACCTATGGTTCTCCATGTTGACAACACTAGTGCTATCCAAATTGCTATCAACCCAGTTCTTCACAACCGCACAAAGCATATCGAAGTTCACATTCACTACATCGGAGACTTAGTCCGCGCCGGTACGATTCAACTTCGCTACATCCCTACAGAAGACCAGGTCGCTGACCTGCTCACGAAGTCCTTCACCACGAGCTGGCATTGGTTCCTTACGAGCAAATTGATGCTTCGGGACCAGCATCAATTTGGGGGAGGCTGTTAGCGAGTCTCCAGCCCATGAGGGACGTGTGTCCAGCCCATGCACACGTATTATCCTTTTCATTTATTGGGCTATTATTGTAGGGTTATACCCGAGGTAGGGTTAGGAGGTGAACTCGGCACATATATATTCATCTCCTGTATCATTGTTGAAGGTTAAGCAAATATAGACTGCAGCTCGGAGAGTCTTCAAACTCTCCCGTTGATTAGTCCTGAACTTTTCAGGGATACCACGTAAATTCGTGTCTCTTCACATTTCAATTTGATTTCGATATGTCTAACAGTTGCACGTTTTTAATGATGGTTCTAGTTCGAAGTCATGACAGAATGGTGGTCATTGCCCTTGTCATGTGCATGATGTAACCTATAAATCACTATAAAATCTCATTTTCTTTATTTGACGAAAGGGAGTCGACTTAGAGTGAAAATTGTGATTTAAGACCTTGAACCTCTATACTACCACGTCCAACTAAAATTCACTTTTTTATAATTAAACGTAGAGTTGATTAAAGGATCGAGTTATTTATATAACATGACTCATTTCAAATGCCGTCGTCACGATCTCCCTCTCATCCTCTAATTCGTCTACGAACATCATCACGTCGAACGTAATGTGAGCATTGGCCGCATAACACAATGCCAAAGTCTGGAAACACAATTGAGATGCACGTACAGAGGAAGTGGCGAGAAATGAAATATTGTCCTTTTCATTATGATATATGTGGAACATAAAATCCAAGTTAATTAGATGACACATCATGGATTAATTCATACGTTCATCCTAAACAAATGAAGCAAAGTCATGCGAACACACGTCGTTGACGAAGGTCTAATGATGAGTGGCACGATAATCCTGTCCGGGCTTCCAGTCCTCGGGCAAGACGTCGTTGACGGTGACGACCCGTTTGGTTTCGTCCGTGGTGATGCGGAAGGAGATGGGCCCACACAGAGGAGAGCTACAGCTGTGTTGCCACAGCGCTCCCCACGAGGGTTTCATCTGAACCCACGTCCCGTTGGAGTTTGCTGCTCTCAACTCCACGGAGCAAACGGTGCCGTCTCCCTCCACGAACTCCACCAGCACCTCCAGATAGTACGGGTTGGAGCCGGCGTCCACGTGGAACGTCATCGGGGTCCCATAAAACTTGCATGGATGCCTGATATAAAAAAATTGCACGTGATGAATCGGCCTCATGCATGCATGTCGAATTACGTAACGTACGTTACCTCCTGTATTTGACGGTGAGCTTCCCGGCGGAGCGGAGAAGGTCTTCCTTGCCGGGGCGGGCCATGGCTCCGAAGGCGTGGCCGCTCAAGTCGAAGTGCTGGTTGGTGCCGGGGCAGTGGTCGGTGATGACGATGTTGACTGGGCGCTTGGAGCAGTCGGGATGGGATTTGCATTTCACCTTGTAGCACCCTCCGCAACCTTTCCCGGACTTGTAAAAAGCATCCCCGCCGGCGGCTACCAGCTTGTGGAACGGGGGCTTCTCAACGTTGTCGGTGTAACCGCAAGCTCCACCTGAATTATAACAATAACAAAAGGATATTAATTAGGAGACATATATATATAGGATCGTTCTGTAAATAAACGAATAGTTTAGGATCGGTTTAGTATAAGATCAAATGTAAATAGGATCTAAATGTAATTTAGCTAGCTTGTTAGGATCAAAACGGCATTTCCATTCTTCTGTAACTCTGTAAACCAGAATATAAATTCAGAACTTCGATGAGAAATCTAGTAAAGGAGGCAAGAAAAAGAGAGAGAAAAAAGAGAATTGATATTGTATTTGTACGTGTTCTTTTCGTCAAAGTTCATATATATATATATATACTAGCAAATGATCAATTGATGATTATTACCGGTGGTTCCGGCGCCGGTGGGAGGACCGTACCATGTCGCTTGTGCTTCCAACCATTGGTGGTGGGTCTTATTTGTATGGCAGAAACAGTAATTCAAGGAAGCAAGAAGCTGTAACGAAAGAAACGAAAAGGTCCATCCCGACCATGATTTCGGCGAGATAGGACCCATATGATCGGGATCGATAGATGGAGAGGGATGAATTGCGATTAATATTGCGTACGTACGTACTTACTGCCAATTTAGATATCAAGTATGTACGTACGTACAGATCATGAAGAAGACAAAACAAAATTAGCTGCTAATTGCACTCATATATCGAATGCTGCCATGCATGCATGCATCCAGATTGCTTTCGTCCACTCGTAAATTTGTCTTGTCGTATTGATTTACTAAAATTGTGTCAACCTCATCTAATTAGCTTCGCTAACAAAAGTTGCCGAAACATGCGGGATTCTAATATATTTCCTACGGTGGCGGCTACTCGTTTCGAGCAGGCGATTCATATGAAAACGATTTCAATCGCCATTTATGATATGATGGATAAGAAAATACATGAAATTTGTACAAAAATTATTCAATAATTACTTTAATTTGAATGATTTAGGTTTTAGAGATTTAGGGTTAGGGTTTAGGTTTACAATTTGGAGGTTTTAGTTGCGATTCAGAATTGAGGGTTAAGGCGTTAGGGTAATGGATTGATTAGTTATAAATTATAATTATATGTTATATCATCATACAAGACTAATGCTACCAATTAAAATTTAAAATTCGGTGTATTATGGTCACTTTTAGAGTTGAGTACATTGAATGCACTAAAAAGGTGAGTGCACCGAAGTAGCCACCATCGCCATATATATATGGTGCCTTCTATGGTACCCCGGGTGAAATCCGGGGTACCACATACCTTGAGTATGGAAACAATATCTAGACCTCGAATTAGCAGGATTTTTGGGTATGATACTATATCCTAACCCTTAATGAGTGAACCCTAGGTCCTAATTATCTAAATCATAATCTATAAACCCTAAGATGGTGCATTCCTTTTTGTGTCTATATTTGGACGAATCATAACCGTCGATTATTGTTTCTAATTAAATTGATCTTTGAGTACAAGATTGGGATAATTAAGACCTAGATTTTGATCTTTAAGGGTTAGATTATAGTATCATGTCCGAAAGATCGATCAATTCAAGGTCTAGATAGTGTTTTCATACTCAAGGTATGCGGTACCCCGGATTTTACCCAGGGTACCATAGAACTCGCTATATATATATATATATATATATATGCCAAAGGCTACCCAGGAGATGGAAGATGATCAGGGACTGCCTCTCATCCTTGGTAGATCTTTTCTAGCCACTAGAGATGAACTCATTGATGTCGGGAGAGGCAAGTTGACATTCCGAGTAGAGTAGGTAAGGAGGAGGAAATTTTTTTATGTCTTTCATGTTGATCATTATATTCACGAATCATTTGATGACTTTGAAAGCGTTGCTCGAGAAAGAAATAGTTTCTCTTCCAGTGATGGTGCCACCCGAAGAACTATCACATGTCCTATCATCTCAGATTCTGAAATCAAAGCAAGGACAGAATTCCTTACCAGGTCATCTCAAGTATAGATATTTGGGTATGGTTTTCAATCTTCCTGTTATTATTCCTTCTTCACTGACATTGAAACATGAAGAGTACTTGCTTGAGGCGTTGTTGCAATACCACCTATGCCTCAATAAAGGGTCTAACATGCAAGCTAAGAAGGTCATATCGAATTTTCGCACACCTGGCCCGGCCCTACGAAGGTGACTCATATGTTGGATGGAGGTTATATGTTCTATCATTGTTCGGGAGGGTATTCAGGATACCTTTCTATACCCATTGTTGAAATCTCCATGAACGTCAAGTTGAGGACGCTAAACAAGCGCTTCTTAGGAGGCAACCCAAAGCTAGTTTTCTTTTCTTTATTTTTCTTTTTAGTTGTGTCAAAATCATGCATGTTTAGATTAGGAGTTTGACATTAGCGCCAATGTTATCCATCCTGAGTGTGGGGTGGTGAGTCTTAGTGTTTCTTTTTGTTCCTTTTGTCATGTGATGTGGTTAGTTAAAAAACTGTCAGTAGGTTGTGCACAGGAAAACTGCATGTAGTCTGAATGTGCAGGTTCAAATGCTTGTGCTAAACCTAAAGGCTAAAATACACCTAAGAAAACATTGTACTCTTGTGGTAACATGATGTAAATGATCATGGTGTATTTGAACGAGCTTGTGCATGTTTGGAATCATCAAAATCACCCCACAAATGTTGAATGTCAAAGATCTTCACAATTAGCTTGATGTTTTGACTGACTTAATGTGTTTTGAATTAGCAAACTCCTTAAGCAACATTCTCTTTTGAGAGTATAGTGTAATGCCTTTTGGTGAAGTGGTTAGGTGGAGAGCATTGACCATTCGATACGTTGGATACCTTGCTTAGTTGCATCTCTTTTGAGTTTCTGACTTTGCCAATAAGTCTCTCTGTTTTAAATGTTTTATATGGGGTAAACAGTATCTTTATAAATAAGAAAATCCTACTTGACAAGTAAAATATAAGAAAGTTGCCATAACAATGAAAGTGTGGGTAAAGTACCAACATCGTGTGAGGCAATCACTCTTTGCATAGGGGAACTAGGAAAGGTTCAATTGAGCATCGGTTTGCGATCGTACGATGTAGCTTATCAAATACAATCCCCTGCCACGTTAAGTGCCATTTAAGAATGTGCTTAGAGGGCACGGATAAAGCTTCCGACGCCCCTCTGTTGCATTGACCCTCCACACGGACCGAGGAAAATAAGTTGAAAGAAGCCCTTATGCGAGTGCAAAGAAGCAGAAATTGCTCTTGCTCGGTCACCAGTAGTAAGAAACAAAAATCACTTGTACTAAATACGATTACTCGCCAAGCAAAATCAGAAAGAGAGAAAACCTCTCATTGTCAAGAAAGGTAGTGATGTTCTTAAATTTAAAACCAAATTTGCTAAAAGCTTCCCCATGCACTTTTTAGACTTTCATGCTTAGTTGGATGCTAATGGTTGGTGTGAGTAAGTTAGATTGTCCTCACGAGATATGCACCTCACTGATGTGGCTAGATTCTCCTAATAACTATTGCACCATAAGTTGTTATTACCCAATGTTGATGATCGGAATTGAGTGTTGCTAATTGAATTGAATTGTGATAAGTCGTACCATGTTTGAGTCGATCAACAGTAAAGGGTTGCAAAGACATTGAGTATGGGGTGAAAGGTATGATCATTAAAGCACAATTCATCCAGCGAGAAAGAAACTACTGATATCACAAGCGTCCAAGGATAAATTTCTAGTGTTAATGTTGTTTTCTGTGTGTCGTGGGTCTTGTGTTTTGAGCAAGGTTGTCACTTAATGGAATGTCAATTGACAATGGAATGGTTGCAAAGCCATTACCATCCTGTATTAGAGTTTTTTTGGGTGTACTAAGCAAGAATACAAGGACATGAGAGCACAAGCAAATGACAAAGAAGGACAAGCAGACAAAAAAATGAGCCATTCTCTCCTCACTCCAATAGAGCTTCGGCAAATTTGAGTTGTAAAATAGTACTTTACATCTAAGTCTAAGAACCTATTTATAGTACAATAGAGAGGGGTACAAAAGGTATTTTTCTCCTAAAGTCGACCTAATCCTTCCTAATCTAACTTGAAGTCGGTCTTCATCCACTTCTTGACGAAGTAACTTGCAGAAGAAGCTTCCTTGTGGCCTAAAGAGAGTAGCGATATAGCAAAGATTGGGCCGCGCAGCTCCGTTTCTTCGTGGGTTGGGCTCTTTGGTCCATGGATTTCATCTCCTAACGATTTGGGCTCAACTTGTGGTAGCAGTGGTTGGACCCGTTGCTCGATTTGCCGCTCTTTCTTTCACCATAATGGACCGAGTCTTCTTCCTACACGCTTGTCTTGACATAATCTTGTAACTTGTAGTTGACTTCCTCGTCATTGGACCACTTCTTTCTCTAGAAATCTTCTTAAACTTCTCTTTACAACTCATTTGGTCCTTCGGAATTCTTAAATGTTTGATCCAATCTTTCTTAGGTTGCTTTATACCTTCATAACCATCAATAGTGTACCAATAAGGCATCAAACAATACAGAACATTGCCTAGGTCTATTTCAAACTCATTGATCAAAGTTGTGATTTAGACTAGAATATCATTAAAATGACTAAAGATGCTTCCATAGAAGTGAAAATGTATTAAGATTGTGAGTGACAAACACTATAAACAAAAGGAGAAATGATTTTATTTTATTTCATTCTAGATGGTAGTCGATAGGGATAGCGATTACCCACCCTTGGGTAATTATACCCAAACCCAAGTAGACCTAGTGATAATAAGTAGGGTATGGATGATGTATATTAATCCTTGTTATGAAAACCGGGTCGGAACGAACAACCGTCCGAGCCGCTTCGAACCGGACCTCCGTTTTTCCGATTTTTTGCCCTTGCACCTTAAAAAATGAAAATAAAAAATGGGAACCTAATCAACTAATGCATCGGATTCGGCTGAAAAACCCTAGACTTGGAAACAAAAAACAACCAGCCGCCACAACTCTTCCCTCTTCCCGATCCTTCGTCCAACTCTAGCCTCCGTCATTTCCATTTTTCTATGTCGGTCGCTGACGGAACGCTGACTTCCCAGCCCTCTGTCCTCCTATCGACTTCCTACTCCCTCCGACTCTTGTAATCCTCTACTTCTCCGATCCCTCACCTTCATCCGGTCTCCCCCCATCGCCGAAAACTCTTCAGCAACTCCAGTGATAGCCGATGACACTTCAGCAGCCGCAACAAGTTCCACGAAGGAGAAGCATCGGCGACGTCACTGGAGGATCCTCAACGCAGTAGCTCTTCCCCTGCTCTGCCTCTCCTGCCGCCAACTACTCCTCTGCACAGCATCCCCTAGCTCTGCCTCCCCTGCCGTCAATTTTTGGAGCGCAAGGTAAGGGAGGGATGTTCGAGACTTTGGTTTTATGTATGGACTCTTGTACAAGTGGTTTTTATTTAGGTGAACAATGTCGTTTATGTGAGATTTCAAATTTGAATTTTAGAACTTATGGTATTTATGTAAGGTTTGGATTAGAACTTAAGGAATATGCTCACGGGTTATTGTGTTTAATCAGTGTGTATCACTTATACTCTTCGTTTATTAAGTAACGGGTCAATAACGATTTTTTACCAGCTCAATACCGGTTAGACCACTAAAGTGTCGGACC